GTTCAAATTTTTGTGATTGTCCACGCCACCATCTTTGTTCTTAGCAGTTTCCAGTATTGAGAGAGTGCCAAGACCCAGGGGTGTCAAAGTGCAGGATCACAATTAGTTTCCAGATGCTGACTGATTACAAATTGGACCCTCAGGCAGCAGCTTGTAAAATATGCAAGCGGCTTAAAGAGAAAGACAGAGATGGGTGATTTTGCCTGCTCCCTTTGCTCTGAGCCTTGGGAGGAACAGCCACAGTGAATGCTGATGCACTTGTTCAAAACTGCTTTGTTCCCTACAGTCCTCTGGGTCTCATAAATACAAACCTCACTGGCTTCCAGAGCTAGATGTTTTGGGGGCCTATCCTTCAGATGGGAATCTTAAAAGTTGAGTTGCTAAATGTGCAGGTCAAACTCTTTGCTCCGCAGGGGCAAGCTGGAGATTGGGGATTCCCTCCTGATTAAATGGCACTATACCAGGGATTAGGTTAATGGTGAGAGCATGTCTCAGCCTTTCCTACCTGCTTCAGTGTGGGTACTTCCCCATTCACCCAGTGTGTAGAATCAGTTAGTTTCAGGATTTCTCTCAGAGGGAATTGCTCCATGTGTAGCTGTACATTAGGTGTGTTCATGGCCGGAAGGAAATTCAGGAGTCTCCTTTGTCACCATTTTGGTCTGGAGTCTAATATTACTAGCTTGAATTATCTTGCTTTTCCTTTTTAGTTGAAATTTAATTTTAATTTTTGTTTAATAATTGTCACAAGATCTATAATCATAGGGATTTATACCGAATTTATAATTGTACACATTTATGTAATATAAAAAAGAATTTACATCCACACCAGGAATACTAGAGAATTGTAGTAGTTTCTTTAAAAGTGTTCGTACATTTTAGCTTCAGATATTCTGCATTATGCCATTGCCAGGTTACTTTTCCTAAAGCATAGCTCCCAATTATGCCATTTTCTAATACAAAATCTTTAAGAGCTTCTCATTGTCTGCAAAATTAAATTCAGATTTATAAATCTGGCATTCCCATATATTCTCCTCCATTGTACCAGGAATCATCTTTGTTTTCTAAACTTTGCCTCACCACACATACACATATACATAACACACTCATTCATCCTGTCTTCATTCATATTCTTTCACCTCATGACTGATCCCTTCCATGCATTAAGATCTATTACATCTTGTCTGATCCTTAAGCACTTGGACCTGACACTCCATTATCCCGGTGATGTTCTGTGCATACCATTCTTAAGACACTTAACATATCTGCTTTGTATTATGGCTGTTTCTGTATATACGTCAACAAAGTCATCTTATCTTCATCTGGGTATTCTTTAATGGGCCTAGATTAGCATTTTAGACAGGTTATCTGTTCAATAAATACTTGTTAAGCTAATGTAAGACACAAAACAAAATTAGCTGCTCACACATTTGAAAATGCCTATGTACTATAAAAGTAATCATCATGAAATTATCGATGGCTGAATATGAAGCAAGTAAGGAAAGCTCCAGAGGAGTAAATGTGTGTGTAATTTGTTAAATGCCTAGCAAATAATGACATTCTAAATACAGCATTTTTTTTAAGGTAATAGCAAGCATTGGAATCCAAGATTGTGTGTTAGTATTGATTAAGATCACTAATGAAGAAAAAAATAGCAAATAAGGCCAAAATAGTTCTTTGTTGATACCAATTAACAGCTAATCTGTTTGCTCTAATAGACCACAATTAGAGGAAATGATAAAATTAGCTACACGTATAAAAAACATTTATTGCCTACATAATGCTTTAGCCCTGAGACCAGTGCAATTCAGCAAACTTGTACAACAAAATCGCCTCTAAAAGTTTAAAATAACACAAGCTTTTAACCCAACTTGCTTAAAATAAGAGTTTTTAATACTAAAATCCTGAAAATTTAAAGAAGTGAGAAAATCTGTTTCTTCAAGTTATTTTAGAATACTCCTGTTTTTTTAAAACTTCTGAATTGCTTTCTGCATCTAGAATGCTATCCAAATCCCTGCTGATTTATTCTTACACTTTTGGCAGGATTTCTTTGCTCCTGGGCACCAGACAGTTTTGTTAATAATGGCAAAGCCTTTCAGTCTCTGGTTGGTGCAGGTGGGACTTTGACTGACAAGGTTAAAAAAAAAAAAGTGTCATGAGACAGAGTAGCACAGTCAGAGATCAATAGTTGCCAATAAGAAAAACAATTCTGATAATTTTGTAGAATTCCCTTAAACCAGTTAAAATAACTGTTGCATCAAAAATACTTTCCACTTACACACAATGCAATATATAGATGATATATTATTGAATTGTACACTTGAAACCTATATAATTTTTTAACCAATGTCACCCCAATAAATTTAATAAAAAAAATACTTTCCATTTTATAATTGATGATTTTTTTAGTCTCTGCCAAAGCTGTCATACTAATTGCATTAAATCATAACAATGCCTAGAATGGATATTGTTTCTAAAGTCATGCCTGAATTCCTTAGCTTGCCGGTCACAGATCTGGTGGTCTTCAGATAGTGTGTTGTCACAAAAGGCTGCATTCCGAACGGACCTTTCATCTCCTTCACTCAGCAGTTGGGTGAACTAAGGCAAGTTGCTGAACTTTTCTTATTCTACGTCTGTCAAAGAACTTACAAACACCTTTTCTGCAAAGCACTCATGAGGGCTAAGTGATATGAAATATGTAAAAAAGTAAACAGTGCAGCATAGAAGACATTTCAGAAATAATAGGTATTATTACCTTTAAATTCATATAGCAATTTTCCCTCAGTTAAGGCTGGTTCAGGACTTAAATAATGACTAGGGTTTTTGTTTTCTTCCCTTCCTTCATCTTAAACATTCATGATATATTGAATTAATAGAGCCACTACTAGACTCAAGAGGAGTAAATGGATACCTACCATTGTTTCACGGTGCTTTCTTTTCTTTGTTCTAATTTTATTTCATGTTCTATCCCTTTGTATCAATTACCATTTGCTTCATAAAACCACTTCCAAAATCAGTAACAAATAATAAATATTTATTATTCCTCGTAATTCTATGGGTCAGCTGCATGTATTTCTGGTCTAGGCCATCCCAGCTACATCAGACTGGTGTAGGGTGACTTCTTCCATATCTAGCCATTGCTTTGATGTCAGGGGAGGCCACAGGGATGATTTGGCCTCATTTATCTCCTCACCTAGAAGGTTAGCCCAGGTGTGTACACATGCTCTAATCATAGGGTTCCCAAGAGAAGCAAGAGAAGGAAAGCCCAGGAAGCTTGCACTTTTCTAGTCAGCTTCTATCGCATCTGTTACCATCACATAGCTCAAAGGCAGTCATGTCGTCATGCACAGAATAAGAGTGGGAAGGCTACTCCTGAGCATATATAAAGAAAAGCGAATTATTGAGGCCATTTCTGCAACAAACTATCATATTTTCACACTCTGTTTACTTAGGTGTCCTCAAGAAGAATAAATATCCCTATAGAATAATAGCTTCCTTCAGATATAATCAGGATTAAATATATCCAAAGCTCTTAATATGCTCTTATATTTTGTTTTCCCACTGAGTGTCTGATTAGTTTTTGATTATGCATAGTGCTGAGAAGCACGTTTTAAAAAAACAGACTGTTTATATATTTATGACATTTTTGTTGGATGCTTTAGTCCTATGGAAAAGATGTTAGTTTTATCTCTCCAGTTTATTTATTTTTTTAAGCTGAAGTTTATTTATTTTTTTAAGCTGAACTTTTATTTCTGCTTTAAAACTCTGATTCAGATTTTGAATGGAGAAAAGTATCATGAGAATGTCAGCAGAGGTATTTACTACTCTAGTTGTAATGTACTTAAAGTTCCACCTGCATTCATTAGATGGGATTACTTATGTAAATCATAGTACACATTTTTTGGCAGCTATGTCTCAAGTGATTTACAAGTTTGTATTGATTTAATGTCCTGTACCATATGAGAAAGGTAGTTATCCCATTTTATAGATGGGGAGGCCATAGCATCGTAAGGTCTCCTTTAAGTAAGGGGCCCTAACCCATATAGCTCACAAATGGAGAGGCAGCATTGGAACCTGGGTAGTCTGGTTCCAGAGCTTGTGTGTTTAACCCTGGCAGTCAATGGCCCAAGCAAACTGGTCACCCCAATAAGCTGCCTGAGGTTGGAGGCTCATTTTCTTTGTAGTCTCAATGATACTGCTTGCAGTGGCATTCAGAGTTGCTGACTGCCCTCCATACAGCAGTAGCAGGAGAATAATGCTGACAAAAAAGACTGTGAATAAAACAGGTATGTTGGGAAGGTTTTATAGTAGCATCTTACTGACCATTTATCACAAAAGTGTAAACCTTAAATATGGTAATGAGCCACACTGAGAAGGTGGACTTAGCTATCAAATGGGACATGGATTTCTAAACCATCAAGACTACAGGCTTCATACTTGGATAATGGTGGTTAGTTAATGAATTTGACACGCCTCCCCGATAAAGGCCCCAAAGAGAACATCCATTGCATTCCTAGAGAGACCATGGCAATGATTCCCTATAGGAATGAGAACAACTCTTTATTTCCCAAAACCTTAAATGTGTTTAAAATGTAAACTTTACAGGAAAAAAAAAAAAAGACTTCTGAATATCCTTTGAATTTACCCACTTTTAAAGAGTACTGCTCTTTTAAAAAGAGTACTAAAAAGATACTAGTCTTTTAGAATTGTTCAGTATTCAGTAATACTCAAGAATGAACCCTCCATACCAATTTATTTCCAGGTAAGATTTGTTCATTTTAAGAGAAATCATTAGAAATGGACCAAGAGATGGGGGACAAGGAGCCTGCCTGGCAACTGCCCATACCTATCGTTATCCACCCAGGAGACACCAGCATCTGGTCTGCAGACAAGCTACTCATTTCAAAGCAAAAAATCCCCAACATGATAGGAACAAAAATAAGCCACTTGAAAAACCTTCCTTTCCAAGACAGCCCCACTTAGGGGCCTGGGTGTCTATGGAATCAGTTCAGTTTGGCAACAGTGTGGATTCTAAAGTGCCTAATAAGGCTGCTGTGATGACTGAAGGCTTTCCCACACTCATCAAAATCATACGGTCTCTCTCCAGTGTGGCTTCTCTGATGTTTTATAAGGAGTGTTCGCCTACTAAAGCCTTTACCACACTGACTGCACTGGTAGAGTTTCTCCCCAGTGTGGATTCGGAGATGCTGGAAGAGGCCTGAATTCTGACTGAGGGCCTTCCTACACCCCTTACACCACTAGCAATTCTCCCCAGTGTGTATCCTCTGAAGCTGAGCAAGGTAAGAGCTCAGGCAGAATGCTTTCCCACACTGTTTGCATTCATACGGTTTCTCCCGTGTGGATTCTTCTGTGTCCGATGAGGCCATTTTTGGCACTAGAGGCTTTTCCATACTCCTTACATTGATAGAGCCTCTCTCCAGTGTGGCTCCGCTGATGTTCAATCAGGACTGACCTCCAACTGAAGGTCTTCCCACATTCTTCACACTCATAGGGCTTCTCCCCACTGTGGATTCTCTGGTGCTGAATGAGGACTGAACTCTGAGTAAAGCTTTTCCCAAATTCACTGTACCTGTGACGTCTCTCTCCAGTGAGATGTCCCCTCTGTTTTTCCACCTTGCTCTCACATTTGCAAGGTTCTCTGTAGTTAGAATCTAGAAGAACATCTCTTTGGAATCTGCTGTTCCCAAAATGTTCCATTTCTTTTATGACTTCTTGCTTCAATGCCAACTCCTAGTTTTCAGGTATAGTTTCACCATCTTGTTCTCCAAGTTTGTGGAGACCAAAATATCTCTCCAGTTTAGAAAGCCTGGCTTTTCCTTTGCTTTGATTCCTTTTCTCCTAAAGATATTACTCTGGGGTTAATTATTTCAGTTTCAGGAGGGAACCAATGTATCTCAAAATCTGAGTTGTTCATATGTCACTGTGTTGTACCTTGTTTTTATTTGTCAGTTTTATTCTACATGATATGGCCCCAGAACAAAATGTATTTCATCTGAAAAATGGCAAAAAGGACAGGAAAACTATATTAGATTGCTAGGGCTGCCATAACACAATGCCATAGACTTGGTGGCTTAAACAACAGAAATTTCCTTTTTTTTACAGTTCTAGATGCTAGAAGTCCAAGATCAAGAGGCCAGATCCTGTTGAGAGCTCTTCCCAGCTTGCCTTCTTGCTGTATCCTCACATGGTTGGGAGAGAGAAAGCGCTCTCTGGTGCCTCTTCTTATAAGAATACTAATCATATCATATCAGCATCCCACCATTATGACCTCATTTAATCTTTATCACTTCCTCACAGGCCCTATGTCCAAATACAGTCACACTGGGAATTAGGGCTTCAATGTATGAATTTGGGGTGGAGGAGAGACACAATTCTGTCTGTAGCAGAAAGCAACTGTTGTATCTGCAAATCAGAGCGCAAGACTAATTCTGTACGTCAAATTGTCCTGTTAGGACTTGCAAACTGATGGTCCTTCCATCCTTAGTTAGGTCACATTTCTCCAACTGTCAATTAGCATATACCTGTTGATTTTGAAACTGGATAATAAAGAGCTTTCTTGAAAGATAATCCCTGAGAGAAGGGGTGAGAGAACTCCTTATTAGTGCTAAAGGCTGGGGATCTGCCAGTCAGACATCTCATCTGGTGGTTAGGGAGAAAGGTCCATCTATTTCTGCCCCCCCCATTCCTTCCTTCTACCCTCACATCCTCAGCATATTCTGTGGAATAAAATGAAATGCAGAAATTGAAATGTCTCTATTTGCTTTGTACTTATTCATGCATTATTTTGTTCAACAAAGAACTTAGTGCATGTTCACTACTGTCAGATGTTGTGCAATAAACTAGAGGTACAAATAGCATTCCGTTGTTCCTTTAGTAGATATTTATCAAGCACATACTATATGCCAAGCACTGTTCTAGGCATCTGTGAATAAAACAGAAAAAAGATTCCTTTTCTCATGGAGTCAGTAAGTGCCAATAATTATTACAACAGGGTAAGAAGGTAGCAAGTGGAGAAAGGGGAGTTGCAAGAGTAAATAGAGTAGTCTGGGTAGGCCTGACTGAAAATGTAAAATTTAACCAGAGACCCAAAGAAAATGAAATTATCTAGCCCAAAGGTTGGCAAATTTTTGAGACGGAAGAGCCACCAGGGGTCAGCAAACTGCGGCTTCTGAGCCACATGCACTCTTTGGGTACGTACATGTGGCTCTGAAGTAAAATTGAAAATGAAAATAAAACTATCATAGTTTCATTTATAAAATTTTTAAAGGATATTATTCATATAATGGTGATCATGTAGAAATATATTTACGGCTCTCAAATAATTTTTAAATTGTTGTGAGGGACAGGATTGGTTGGCTCTTCCAGGGGCCAGCAAGCTTTTGAGACAGAACATACTGAAAGAACCACATGTGGCTCATGAGCCACAGTTTTCCGACCACTGATCTAGGCAGATATCAGGGGGTAGAACGTTCAAAAGAGACAGAACAATTAGAGCAAAAACTTTAAGCCTGGCATATGCCTGGTGAGCTCCAGAAACAGCAAAGAGCCCAGCGGGGTTGGACCAGAGTAAGCAAAAGAGAGATATTTAGATTTGATGAGTGAGATCATGAAAGACCTTATAAGTCAACATAAAGTATTGGACTATTAACTCCGTGTAACTTGGGAGAAATATCAGGGCTCTGGAAATAAAATGACATATTTTGACTTTTCTTAAAGTATTGTTTTTAGATGTTCACTCTATAAACAGAATATAGTTGTATTTGGGGTATTAATTCAATCTGGTCATCAGTCTTTAGGTGAAAAGTTTATAAAATTCTTTATGATTATAAATTTGGATTTATTGCTACCATCTTATTTGTATTCTTTATTTGTCCTATTTACTTATTTTTCTTTCTTCTTTTGTATTGATTGAATTTCAACTTTATTTGTGCTTTTTTCTTCTACTACTTTGTAAGTACATTACAATAATTTTATTCTTTTAGTTGTTTCCCCAGAAATTCCCCAGAAGCATGCATATTTAACTTCACCAGTTCTAAAAAGCTAATAAATATCTTTATTTTCCTTTTCATCCTGAATAACACAATGACCTCAGAATGCTTGGTTTCAATAACTACACTCTTTCTCTGCTTATATGACATTTTTGGGTAAGATCTTATTTTTGTCTTGAGATTTTTACCCTCACAAACTAGTTAGTATTGCTATTGTTTTATACAGTCATTGTTTAGATTTTCCCCACAGGTTTGCCATTGTTTTGCCTACAATAAGTTCTTAAATTTCAGATTTTTCCACAAAAATCATATTCCTTCTTCTTGAATGAAATATTTTAGGCATGTTTTTTAGTTGAAGCCTATTGTTATAAAACCTGTTTTTGTTTGCCTGAAAAAGTATTCCACTCTTTTATGGAAAAATAAGATTTTGTTCAGTACAGAAGCCTAGGTTCACAGGTATATATTCCTTCCTATTTTAGCTATATCATTCTGCTATCATCTAACTTCCACTGCTGTTACTGAAAAGCCAGCTTCCATTTATGCTATCATTCTTTCATATATAACCAAGTTATTTTTCCTTTGGGTGCTTTTAAGTAATTATTATTGTAATGAATTCCATTCAAAATTTTCCTAATGAAATCACCACATTGCTAGAATAAGGTTACATGCCCATGGTTCTCATAATACATTGTTGGATACTATCTGCTAATAATATATCTAGGATTTTTGCTTCATATTAGGATGTGCACTCACTTCATCCTTTGCATAGAATGATCTGAAATCCACATTTCTTGCTTACTTTTGTAAATCAGGTATCCATGTAAGTATACCTTTCTCCACTGGGCCTTCCCTGTCCAAGCAACCTGAAAAGAATGCCCCTCACTCTACATTAACCACCCTGTTGACATATTTTTCACAACTCCCACTACTTAAATTATCCTACCAATATACTTGCTAAGGTTCTGCTTCTGCACTCCCCAACACCTCTTCCAAAACCTGTGTGAGTACAGAAAGTTCTCAGTGAGTCCTCTGTTCCTCATGGAAAAGGGCCAGCAGGCCCAGAGTTTCTTTGTCCTGGCCGCTCAGACAAAATGCAGAGTCTTTCGGGTCAGAGGATTACTGACTTCTGTCATCTCGTTTAAGCCAGGTTTAGAGAAGATGCACATCATTACATACATGTCATCAAACTGCCTGGGTCAGAGTTCCTTACTTTGCTATAATTATATTAAAAATAAAATCTCATCATTAATGAGGTATATCCACACACACTGACTTAGAACAGTGTTCATTTTTCATTGTTAAATAAAAACAGCAGAATAATTTAAATAGTATGATCCTGTTTTTCATAAAATAAAACATTTGCATGTTCAGATATATACTGTTTATTCGTATTTATATAAAGAGTTTGGAAATAATAGTATAGAAATGGAGAGGGGTAATTTCAGTTTATTATAACTTCTCCTCCCCAATTTTAAGCTTGTAGGTAATTTCACTTCCATTTTTGTTTTAGTAAATTTAGAAAATAATGCAAGTTAGGGAAAAAAGGGAGAAATTCACCAAGGACTCCATTATCCAAAATCTTTTCCATTAGTTTAAAATAAATAAATAAAAAATAGTTACCCCAAAATCTCTGCTTTCTTTCTTACTCTACTTTTGGAAATGTAGTTTTAGCTTTCTGTCAATTATCAGAAATGTGACACTGCTTTTTCATCTTTTATTAAACTTTTCTCAAATTCAATTCATTTTTCCAAAATACAACCTCCTATCTGCAGTTCATGTTTTATATAATTTTTTTGCCACGTCATTAATTGGCTAATACTAGAATCAAGAATTTCCCTTATTCACACACACAACTGAGGGAGGTGGAATGACTTTGTTTTTCAGGACCTTCAAGCCATTGTGCCCAGACACCTGAGAAAGCACTGGTCCAGTCTTCCATCAGTTTGATTCCAAAACAATGAAACGTACAGCACAAAAAGAGTTTAACTGCACATTTGCTCTGAACAAGGCCATAAAGAAAGAGTCTTTATAGCTGAGGTCTATATAACTGAATTTCATGGAGGAACAAGACTACATTCTTTTTTATGAGAAATTCTCATGCCTTGGAGTCCAATTGTAAGGGACTGCATTTCAACTCTTATTACTGGAAAAAAAAAAAAAAAGATGGATAACTGTCCGATCTAATGAAACTCAAGTGGCTAGCAGATTCAAGCTCTGATACCATTGCTCCACTTTTTGAAATATTTGCAATGCAAATAACTGTTCAAGATTCCTTTGGTCACACTAACATTTATGAGTGTCATGCCAAATAAAATAGCTATTTATGTGTTTAAAGGGGAGCGTTTCTTGTTCTGTATGTACACACCTGGGCTCACTTCCCTTGAGAAGATGCCTCAACAGTGCTAGTATAACAAGACAATAACGGCAAAATAATAGAGATTTATAGTGATTGTCCAGAACTCAAGAGGCGATGGCTCACACAGTGAGCATAACCATAACAAGTGTCAGCTTTTTTCAAGCAGAAAACAAAAGCAGAGCCGTTGGATGCAATCTAATGTTTCAGTCAAAATGCCACACTGAATCTACAGGCTAATCGCAGCATGCCTCTGTTCCCAGAATGAAAAAAAAAAAAAAAGAGGAAGAAAAACCATAAAATATTAAACTGCAAACCCTATGACCCTAATTACATGTAAAACTCTCATTTTTTATGATAATAGCATGGATTTTTGTTACTAAAGATCCTTCCTAAATGTCCAAACTAGGCCACAGATATGTTTTGCTTGAACTGCACAGTAATCAATAAATCAGGACATTTCCACATTTAAACAGCTGGATTTCCAGCTTCTTTGAATTATTAGAGAATTTAGCAAGTTCAAAATGCCATTCCCTCATGTCAATAATCATATCAGCTGAGTAACTGATGCTCCTTTTGTTAGTCATTTCTTTTCTATGGGTAGTTGGGTACATTTTGTACTACTCCCTATTGTCTTTCACCTCCTACTCTTTACTAACTTACCAAGAGTCATTACTTGTCTGCCATTTCTTGGCATTTGAGTTTGCATTCCTCAATACAAATAAACCCTTCCCCATTATTTCTCCAGAGTCAGGCTTTACATCCCAGAAGCTGTGAGATACGTTAATACGGTGTGAAAGAATTTGCAAAGCACACTAGCTGAGACTTGGAGGTTCTAAAATGACTTATCCATGGAAACTAAGAAATACCGTATTTCCCCATGTGTAAGATGCACCCTATTTCAAAAAATTTGGGGTCTAAAAACTGGGTGCGTCTTATACAGTGGTTGAATGAGCACAAAAACAAGTGGGAAAAAAGTGGAAATGCAAGTAAAAAAAATCTGCAACCACCGTATAAGACACATCCAGTTTTTAGACCCCAAATTTTTCGAAAAAGGGTACATCTTATACATGGGGAAATACAATACCTTTAAAGGGAAACACCAAAGAAAAGGATGAATGAGGTTCATGCTTCATAACAAGTAAATGTTACAATCTTTGAATCTGGAAGAGAATGACATTTTGGTATAATGGAAGAACCCAGAGCCAAGTGCTAGCTCTGACTCTGCTTTGGGCAACTTATCCTACCCGTCTGGGTCTCATTTTCCTCACCCCTAAGGAGAGGGATTTGTGCCCAGTGATAAGGAGGGCCGCTTCCAGGTCCTGGTTTCTCTATGAATCCCAAACTAAGATAAAGGATTCTCTTTTTTTATTCTTCCTGGCTCCAGAGAGCAAGTGTAGAAGGAGGGGACATATTTATGTCTACCTTCTAGTTGTTGGCAGTCTATGTAAATGGAAAATTATATTTAATCAGTATTTTCCAATAAAATAAAATAATTTCTCCTTTGCTTTATTCATTTTGAATCCTCATCATCTAGCACAAGGCAACATACAAGATGACATGGTGAAGATTTGAAAGACTGCCCCCAAATGTCTAGATTTCTGGGATTACCCTGATGATTATAAATATTCTGTCTATGACTTTCTAAAACTATGGTGATGGTTATTGTTTACCGACTCTCCCAGGGTCTCTGGCAGGTACTTCACATGCATTATCTTATTGAATTCAGATCACCATCTCACTAACGCAAGAGCCATTCATTTCTAAGCTTCCCTATATATTTCCTCTCAATGTCATTTTCAGTGCTATGTTATGGAAGTTCAATCACTGAGGTTCAGAAATGGGAAAACATAAATCCAGAATGGGACAAAAAGCCTTCCCACTGCATAGAGTACCTAACCATGAAATCTTAGCAAGTAGTTATGGTCTTAAGGGTTCACATCTGTCCATTCCATCTCCTTTATATATATATATATATTCTTCAGTGGCTTATCTTTGTGTCAATATATACTTCTTTCTTGTATACATGCACACAAAGAAAAAAAACAAACTTCTAAATCCTAAGATCTACAATTTGTTTTAAAAGTACACTTTGTTCTCTTATTTCCAACTTGTCTCTTTACATACATTAATATGTAGTTTAATATAAAATTACTTGCTATATTTTCTTATAAAATTACTAATAATATAAAAGAAACCAATTAAAGGGGAAAATATTTTAAAGAACCTAAGGTTTCTTAAGAAAATCACCTAAAAATGTGAAGCCTCACTTTCGTCAGCTATAACAGGGGTTGGCAAACATTTTCAGTATAGGGCCAAATATTTATTATTTGGCCCTATATTCTGTATGGTCTCTGTTGCAACTACTCAATTCTTCCATTACAGCATGGAAGCCATCATAGACAACAAATAAGTGAATGAGTATAGCTGTGTTTCAAAAGGACTTTATTCATAGAAATTTTAATTTTATATAATTTTCAAATGTCATGCAATATTATTTTTCCCCCACCATTTAAAAATGTAAAAAATGCTCTGAACTTGCTGAATAAAAAATCTGTCCATACAAAAGCTATGTTTGGCCAGCAAGCCAATTTTATGATTTTGACCATATCAAGCCATAGTTTGCTGACCTCTGAAATACAGAATGGAGGTCAAAAGAATTAATTACCTTAGAGAATAATCAAAAGAATTACCTTAGAGAGCTACTGTGAAGTGTATGAATATCAACCTATGTATACTATTTCAGATAGTATTTATAACATATGGAACCTCAAAAAAGCTATTATTAATATTAATAATTTTTATTATGAATGTGAAGTTTTTCTATTGTTTAATAATAGTTTTTTAACCTTAATAGTGGATAAGTATTAGGTTAGGATTTCTACTTCAAATAGAATTAGAAAAATTAAAACCAACATGTTTCATTATTGCCTATTATAATAAAGATTGTGTTAGCCAGGCTTTTTCTCTTTTAGAGTTACATCTTAGATAATCCATAATCACAATTTTTTATTAGCTCTGTGCAATTTATATTCTAAATATCTTCAGTATTCATAGTACAATTTTTGTAAGTCATCATGGATTGTCACAGTGAAAAGAGAGCCTCACAGTTTCACAAATAGTTAAAATTCCAAAAGAAGTATCATAATCCAAAGCTATCCAAGTACCATATTTAAAAGGAAACTTACAGTAAGCTAAGTCCCATTATAGTCTCTCAATAATATATATTATTGTACTCAGCAATTCAGATTACTGAAGGACGTCTGAGATGATTGTGTCCATGAGAGGGAGCTGAGATGCACTGTTCCTGATCTCAGTCCTTCACTGCTAAGCATAATCATCAATAAGTGGTAGAAATTCCCCTATAAAGAACCATTTCCAGCAAATGAACTTTATAATCATTAAAATGAAGAAAGTCCATTGTTCTTAAACTTGTGAGAATACACACAACTTTGCCATCAAATTTGTAGATGACATAAAACTGGTGGTAAGTGGGGCTATATTAGATGTCACAATCAAGATGAAAACATGTACATGCTAACATTTGGGACTGAACAGAGCGATAAGAAATTTAAAAGAAATGCAACTTGCAAGGAAAAAAATGTTACCCTGTTCTGCTCAAACCTGGTCAGATATTTCCTCGAGTTGTATTCAATTCTTGGCTAGGTACTCTAAGAAGAATCTAGAGACAATGAACCACAGCCAAGTTCAGCAAAGAGCAAGGCAGTTTTGATGATGAAGGGACTTAAAGCCATAACATGGGAAAGATGAACAGGGGTCATGGAAACGTTTACTATTTTTTAAATGAGAGATTTAGATGAAATAGGATAACCACCTTCAAACAGCTAGAGAACTCTCATGTGCAGTTGTCCTGTTTACTCTAAATATCCAAAGAGGGAGATGAGTCAAGTCCCACGACTGGATGCTACAAGGAGACTGATTTATACGCAACATAAAGAAAAGTTCTTAATAGAGTCATTGATAAATGGAATGAGCTGCCTTGGGAGTTGGAGTCTGCCTTTGTGCAGGGGTACAACTTGGAATGAATGACTACCTAGTGGGAATGTTTTAAGAGAGATTCCAATACCACTTTGATGATTTAACCAAAATACTTAAAAATAATTATTGTAACCTTGCAGTCTATGTTTTCATTTCTGAAAAGACCTTGAGATGGTTCACTAACTATGCTAATGGTTTATGAACAACTTATATTCCTCAGACAATTTTCCAACCTAGGATCAGACTCTTTCTAGGATCCAAAAAAATAATATTTGATCAGCCTGAAAAAAAAAAAAGATATCGATCAGAGAATTCTCCAACATCAAAATTTTCAGTGAAAATAGTACAAAACAGCACAAAATGTTAATCTGGAGTCTTTCTTTTCAAAATGTATCTTACAAATCTTATAATTAACATGTTTTTCTACTGTGCAACCTGCCTCAAATTATTGTTAATCACTTTTTTTTCTGGACAGTGTAGTATGCATTTAGCTAGTGGTAGACGTTCTCAATAATGATGAGAGAAGTTCTTTGCTGTTATACAGCATCCTGAGTAATATACTTTTTATCTCGGTAAGTTGTCTTTTGAAGCCATTTATTAATGTGTAAAGAAATAGACACAACTGTTCCTAAGAGAACTAAGCTGGAGGAAGACTACTGAGTGGTGTGCAAATCACTGACAGTTCAGCCACCAAGTGGACCTTCAAGCAGTCATAATTCTTGAAGTATTTAATATGGAGAATAAATGTTAAACTAGGATCCCTGCACAGGAAAGAGTGAGCTGTCTCTGATCTTCTGGGAACTTTAAACAATTAGTTCCTATGTCCCCACTGAGTAATTAATGGGTCATGTTTGCAGTCATCGACTTCTGGGGAAAAAAATTATGTCAAGATGCTGAATGAAAAACTGTAAGGAAGGAGGTGGAATAATCTCTCTCTACTGTGTATATGATGACTCAGATTTTACTAAATTTGGACACCAGTGAATATAACATCTCTGCCTTAAGTCCAGGATATTTTCTTTTTTCCTAACTTTTTGCAGCAAGTATTCTCGTGAATTTTCAAGAGACAAGAAAAATGCTACTTAAGTGTCCTTATACCTACAGCTTCTCCCTCCTGGGCAGCGTTCACACTTCCTCCTTTCAACCTTACATATAGCAATATAATGGTGTAATGTACATCCCTCACTAGACTATAAATTCCTTGAAAGAAATAATCAGGCACAATTGATCTTGGATAAGGCACTGTACCTAGTAGGTATACAAAATTGTAGTTCAGAATGAATAAATGTAAAAAATTATAAATGTAAAAATATCTTAGAGGGAAGAAACCATCTGACTTATTTTTTCACATGTTACATCTATGCACAGTGACTTGAAACTGTGAGGTTTCTTTCCTGTACTGCTAACATTAAGAAAAATCCCTGTTCCTAAAGGGCAAACACTTTTGTAGGGCTCTTTCCATTCTCAAATGAGAGAAAATTATTTTGAATCTTCTGACAAAAAAGTTGTGTGTGTGTATATATATATATATATATATATATATATATATATATATATGTACATATATGTATATATTTACATTTATATAATACAGAGAACTCTCTAGAAGAATAAGGGGGAAAATCATTAAATTAGAGAAAGGACTTGTTTCCTCACTGTATTTGGAACCCCCGCTCTGGCAGACAATACGGACATCCCAGTTGTAACTCAGTATTTAGTATATGGTATCCCAGCACTTGATGAGTATTTCTGATTATGCTAAAATTATGGGACAGTCAAATCTCCAAATCTCCAGGTATAGATTTAATTCTATGTTGGACTGATGGCAAATGCTTTCACTGTTCTACCTCTCAAAACAATGTGATTAACTTTGATAGAAACGATGAATGTTCAACCCTGGAGCAATGTCCACTTTCTACTCTTTCTATGAGAATTATTGGAATGAAGGAAAAGAAATAGCCCAGGAGCCTTTCAAGCATCCTTATTTTTCTCTGTCACATCATTAAAGGTTCAATGAATCTCCAATTAAGTCTCCCTGGCTGCTGTCACCAATGTGATTGATAGATGTCCTTGGCTCACCCTCCACAGGACATGCCAGTACACCAGGCCCCCACCTGCCACCATCAATTATCACTCTTCTGTCATCAGTGCCCTCACTTGTCAATTTATTTGCCACAAATCCAGTGAAGCCTTCTAATCAGGGAGAAAACAGAGAAGCTATTCTTCTTTACTTTTAATGGTGGGATAGAAAAAAGTCTCAACAAACTACATACTATTTAATCTTAGAGGAAACTTTGCTTTAAGCTTTTCCATTTTCTTCCTCCCACCATTCACCAAACTGGCACAGAAGCTGGGTGTCATCAGGTGCTGAGTTGTGAATGTGTTAACCAAAGGTAAGGGAAAAATAAGGGATTTTTTTTAAAGATGCTCACAACTCACTGAAATATAGTCTTTTGACCTTTTGAGGATCCACCAAGCATTTACCAGGGAGAAAAAGGAAAAAGAAACCACTCAATTTTTTTTCAAATAACTGATAGCAGGAAGTATAGAATAAAACTGATTAAAAAGGATAAAGCAGTTTATTGTTGTTAGCAAAACTAGTAAATATGATCAATTTTACTTGTCTCCTGCCCCACCCGTTTAATGTTTAAACGTGAACTGACTGTGGTGCTTGATAACTGATTATCTGTCTAGGACATGGCAATCTTCTGTC